TTTCATTCCAACCCACAACCACAAACAGAATTTTCCCCAGAATTTTCCAGTTTCATTCCATTGATCTTTATTGTGAGCCTTCAAGCCTTTTTTATAATGATGATTATTATTGTGCTCTACCGAGGCTGTCACAAGAAAGCTTTTTTACATTAACCTTTTTCAAAATCTTTTTCAGGTGTGTATGTAACATTGACTGTTCTCAGACCAACTTCAATCCTCTTTGTGCTTCCGATGGGAAATCTTATGATAATGCATGTCAAATCAAAGAAGCATCATGCCAGAAACAGGAGAAAATTGAGGTCATGTCTTTGGGTCGATGTCAAGGTAATGCTCAGAGCAAAATTCATTTCAAATCGTGTTTTCTCGTTTTGTGCAGAAATAAAAGCAGGGCTGGCTTGTTAGTAGACACTCACTTTCTTTTCAAGAGACTGTTCTAATTTGCAGTATGGGATGTGGTCCGGTAGAGTGGGGATTTTGTTGATTACAGGTTTTGAAATAATGGCCACTATATGAGCTGTTGCTGAGCTCTGGTTGGTACAGCTCTAGTGGTGAGGTACAAAGGGGGCTTCCCCCCCCCCCCCCATTCTGGGTTCCTTCAGCCCTAAGCCAGTCCCCAACACAATTGTGTGTAGTGTTAAGGCTCTTTTGCATGGCTGATATCTATAGTCAAAAGGGGCTAAGCATTGTTGTGGCAAAAGGAACAGTCCGCTCACACCCTCTTCCCCTGGCCGCATGCTCTTTGCTAGAGGTTAGAAGGGAGACATACACCTGCGATGACAGTTCCAAACCCCATAGGGATTCCTTTGCGCATGAGGAATCTTGCTTGAGAGTTCTCTTGTTGCACTGGAACAGCATAAAAAAGCCTTCGTGGATCAGAGGATCTGGCCCAAAATCTGTGGTGAGCATCATTGTTGTGTAATCTGGAACTTCGTGATGCCAGAGTCACACAGCCCAGGCTAATGAATATGGCCACCCTCCTCTTCACAGCAGAAAGGCATGTGTACTTTCAGGAAATAACTCGGAGGTAGTTGTTCGCCTGGCTGCATGCAAGATTTAAGATTAGGATTCAGAAGCATGTGGCACTATTTCATGTGAGTGCCTGTGTAACTGCTTAGTTGATTTTCAAAAAGCCTATATTGTGCTCAAAATACAAATGGGGAAAAATTTAATAGTTTTAAAATAAATTTTTAATCGTTTTTATTATTTGAAATAGTTTTTTAACGATAAAATACCCCTTGTCTCTGAGGATCTTTATTCGTTTCTCCCTGCCCTCCTCAGCCAGCTTCTGATCTATAAATCCTAAGCACACCTATTTGAAAAGCTCTATTAAACCTTCATATTAAACATATTCTGTTTATATTCCTATAAAATATTTCTTTTAAATGAACCCTGCTTTCCTGTTTACCATTTTCGGATCAAATTAGCAACATGTCCTGGTTATTTCAAACAATGAGGAAGTCACATCTCACGGTAACTGGATCTTTCTAGATCCCTGGTAGACAAATCTAGAATGGCAGGTTTGTGCCTCAGCATGAGCTGAATCAGTCCAAAGACTGGAGTCTTGCAATTGACACCTACCAGGCAGATTTTTGCTCCAATACACAGCTCCCTGCTTGCTTACACACTCTGACTTGCACGGTTGGCCTCTGTTTTACAACTGCACCGGCAAACATCAAAGCAACATGTTGTATTTCTTTTCACACAGATAACACAACTACTACCACAAAGTCTGAAGATGGACATTATGCAAGAACGGATTATGCCGGTAAGATTTCCATTATACTCTCCGTAACATGAGAAACACAGTTGGCAAAATTTGTAGGAAAAACACTTTTCCTCTGTGTTTGCAAAAATGTAGGTGTCATAATCATTAATTTTTCTTGTTTCCTTGCTATGGAAAAATATTTTGTGTTTTTAAGTTGAAAACTGCCTTTCTTTTTATCAAATGTCCTATCAACACTAATGTATAAATGTGCTCATGGGGGAAAAGTGCCTGTACTGACAGTGATTAGTTAACATTGCAACTGCTTGGCCAAGCAGAATGTATTGGTGGAAATCAGTACAACTTTCAACCAATATTTTTCAAATTGTTATGAGAATACCTGGATATAGTTATACCTCCCTAGAATAGAACAGCTACCACATCATCAGACACTGCTATGACTTTGTCTATGTTTGAATGCAAAGTTAAGAAGGTATTTACAGTAGATGTTTTTTTAAAATGATAAATGGCTTTAATTTATTTAGACGCTCCAGTAAAATGTATTGGCTACAATAGTATGATATACCATTTTAAATTAAAAACATGTAAATGTTATGTAGGGTTTATCGAATTTTGTTTTGGGTGAACATCTTTCTTTTTCAGATCTTCTTAAGAGGAGGATTAATTTATGAGTAGCTTTTGTGCAAATATTCACAGCTTGACTTTAGAACTGTGAATAGAAGCATTTGGAGTGTTCCTGTTAAAAATGTGGCAAGCAATGTGTAATTGCTTAAGCTTGTGTTGCTTTTGTATTGTGAAAAGAGATCTTTACAAGAGAGTACTATTGAGCTACAAAGCTTTGAACTCCAGGTTTACCCCACCGATAAGCTGTGCAGTGAAGATGGAACACAGTTTATCATTTGGCACACCATAATTCCTCCTAGTAATATTTTTCAAACCTTTTATTAAGGCATAGTTGCAATAAAACATTAACAAGCTACATCATACATTACTTATTCAGGATCATATTAATAGCCAGAATCTTACTGGATGGGAAGCCCTCCTCTACAAATGTTTAAAAGGGTTAACATTTCCAACCTTTTTTTCCCCTTGTTTTGGTGCGTCTCTTTTGTATGTATTTAGTATGAAAGTTTTACCATCATAAGGAAAGTCTATTATGTTTCTATACCATAATTTCATAGCAAGACGGTTGACATTTTTCCAGTTGTTTGCAATATAAAGTCTAGCAGGTAACAATAAAAAAACATTCATTAGTTGTTTGATAAAAATGTAGACCCTTTACTGCTTCATTAAGTAAGCAGGTCAGGGGAATCTCTAGGAAGCTGGCATTTTGTCAAAAAATGAATCTTTTTAATAATTTTCTCCCACAACCATCTAATTCCTGGACACAACCACCACCAAATGTATATGTATATACACTTTTCCCTGCCATTTCTCTAACACAGCACCTCCCCAGTAGCAAATAATATGACGTCTCTTAACTGGAGTCAAATGCCATCTATGCAGTATTTCATGGAAAAAAATTCTTTGAGTAATACAAACTGAGGATGTGTATTGCCTAGTCCATTCAGAGACAGACTCGTTAGATCAATTTCCTCTTCTCATCTGCAGTGTTTTCTTATCGACATCTTTTTTAGTCAAAACTGTATGTATCTTAGAAATTAAATCTTTTGTTCCAGCTTACTCATGGAACTCCTCAAAAGTAGTTAAAGGTCTAGGTGGAGCAGTCTCATATCCAGATTTCACAATAAAATGTGACTTGTAAATGTTGTAAAGATGGGATCTTTATATCATTTACATTCTTAAAAATCTCTTGGTATTTTTTCAGATCTGGACCTAGGAACAGCTGTCTGAATTGTGTAATGTCAGCTCTTACCCATAACAGATAGTCCCTTTGATATTTCTTATTATTCATTAAAGTAGCCAGGGGAGAGGGCCTCAGCGACAGGAGTTTAGAAAATTGATCCAAAGCTAATTGTATGTTAGAAAGTGCTCACTATTCATTAATTAATCACATTGGTAATCTAGGATGAGGATATATACTGGGTGGTTATCGTACTCGGACACAAATTTAGAAAACATTTATTCCATTCCCATTTAAAAGAGATGTATTGAGATTAAAAAGTACAGAGCCATATTATGGCACAAAAAGCTAAAGGCAAATTGGTTAATAACTGCAGAAACTAAACAGCATGAAGGGAAAACATAATAGGTTCACTTTGGTCAAGAGGGAGCCAACATGCACCATGCATACTATGTCTCCATTAGCAGGGAGTCTTTCAAAAACAGTCTGAGAGAGAGAGGTGTGGGATAAAAAGAAAAGTCTGCAGAGTCATCCCCAAAAGTTTTGATTGAGTCAAGCTTTTCCCTCCAAATTGGCAATCAGTTTTCTTAAACTACAAGGAGGGGCTATGGTTGTATCTTATGACAGGGAGGAGGGTGAGAAGAGGAGACAGCAGAGCTGGGTTAAAATGGTTTAGTTTAAACTAGAAATAAGGACAAGCAATAGCATTGTGTTAAATGGGGCCATTTTTCGGAAAAAAAACCCTTTTGTGCAAGATCCCTTATTCCTCAAAAAATGAGATTTACAGGATCTTGCACAAAAGGGTTTTTTTCCAAAAAATGGCCCCATCTACACTGCGGGTTTTTTTCACAAAAACCTCTTCGCAAAAAGGATCAGAGGGGAATATGCAAATGAGAGTGCAAGATTTGCTAATGAGCACTTCATTTGCATTTCCTTTTCCACAAAAAACAAACAGTGTAGACGTAGCCTTGGAATCGGAAGCAGAAGGGAGGAAGTAGCTAAATCTTGGTGAGAAAAGTCATGATAACTTCCTACGGGGGAGCACAGGAGAGGGGTAGTAGCCATGAGAAGAGAATAAATAGCAGCAACTAGTTGCTGGAGATTAGAGGACAGATGAGAGGCGATGAAGACGGTGACACTGGACTATTTTGCAGGAAGCAAGGGCAGAGTTGAGGCAAACAAAAAAAGAGTAAAGGTGTATTGGAGAAGGTCCCTGAGCAGTGTTTCTTAAACTTTTTAAGACAGAGGAACACCAAACAATAATTTTTTGGGGGAGGAACACCAAGGAATTTTGTTGAGCAAAAAAAAAAGAGGCCAGGGAAAAGTTATTGAGCAAAAAAAAAAAAAAAAATAGGGTCGGGGGAAAATTATTGGGGGAGGAGGGGGAATTGCCTGTCCCAGTAAGGGTGGCCATTTTGAACTATGTTGTTCTCCATGGCACACCTCTGACTGCCTCTGTGCCACGAAACACAGTTTAAAAAACACTGTCCCTGAGCATCAAGAACTGCAGAGAATTCTGTGAGGATACTAGAGTCCATGTTACAGGAAATGGAAGTCGCTGGGCTCTGTTGGGTGGAAAGAAGGAGAGAAGATCAATTTTAAAAGTGTCATTTTTCTCTTGAGCAAATCTTCTGTAATATCCCAAAGAAGAAAAGGTCACAGAGCTGTAGCTCCTATTTTGTTCCAGCTCCCCAGAAGACGTGCACTAAACCTGTGCCCCTAAATGTGTAGTAGTGGAGGGGCTGTCCTGAGTCATACCTCTTATGCAGGAATGTGTATCTAACTAAACAAGGCATTATATAATTCACAAGTAATCCCTGGCAATGTCTTTTCTCATTTGAGGCCAGATCATGGACATTTGGGATTCTGAAGATGACATGCTTGTAAGGGTAGGTCCTCCTCAACTATAATGTGGTGTAGTTCTATTGATGTCAATGGACCTACACCAACGTACATCAGCTGAAGACCTGGCCTCTTTTATGCACTTAAATCTACTCTTGTGTCATTGCTTATCTCCATATGTGGTAACTGAGGTTCGCTAAGTATGTGGTTCGAAATCTGGTAAGCTCATGCTGAGCAACCCATGTGACTCCAGTTTCACACAGGCTCCTGGTAAGCTCATGCTGAGCAACCCATGTGACTCCAGTTTCGCACAGGCTCTGTCTACACTGCACCTCTTTTCCGGAAAAGGGATGCTAATGAGACACTTCGGAATTGCAAATCTGCGGGGGATTTAAATATCCCCCGCGACATTTGCATTTACATGGCTGCCGCTTTTTTCCGGCTCAGGGTTTTTGCCGGAGAAAAGCGCCAGTCTAGACGCGATTTTCCGGAAAATA